CTTACATAATGGCATTATTGACCTTGTTCAATGATAAACAAGTTGTGAAAACATTTAATGTGCTTTTCTTTGACATATCATATCCGTATCACACAATTCCTATATTATTCTACAAAAGTGGCTGGACAACATTCATCCAGAAAATTTATTTTGAAATATATTACAAATACTTAACAATACTTAAGTTTGTAAACACTCGTCTGGATACTTTTACCGGGATATCATCGCCTGAACAAATGTATCAGATTTCGGGAGTTATTAAAGATTTTTTGAAAAATGATAAAATTATAAGAGATTTGTTATTAACGACTATTTATAGCATCTATATCATGTTCGTTACAGGAACAATAATTATTATATATTTTACCTGGTTTATGTATGTTAATGAGAGTTACATAATCATCTGTTTAATTCTTTTCTTGTATGTTTTAAAATTCATATTCTTTACCATGACACAATTAAAAGTTCACACAAAGAAATCTTCATATACGAGAATATTATCAAGATTAACTGAATGGCACGATTCATATTACATTGAACTAAATACAATTCAAACAAGCTCGGTTTAATTAATTTATAAATTTTAAATAATTAACCGTGTTGCATTAAATTTCATTTTAATCGGGGTTTATATTTTAAAGTAATCATTTATATATTTATATCTAATATTGTCCCTTGGCAACTTGCATATTATTTCTATAAAGTTGATTATTGAACCAATTTTTATCGTTAAATCTTTACTTTGATGTTACTTTTTCATGTGAACAATAAAAATGTTAAACATTTAATATAAATTTAAAATTTTATTATAAATAAATTAAAATTAAATATAATTTATAGTTGAACACAGTGCTGCAAGAATCTATTTTTGTATAAATATAAATAACACTGTATTATATAAACATTAACTGTTATTATGTTTATCACAAAAACTCAACAGAATGATTTTATAAATACAAATATAAACACAAATGTGCTACAGTAAAATCAGAAATTACTACAAATAAATCATTAAAATAATAAGTTTATTAATTATTCATGTAAAATGTTACAAATTCACAGAAAAGAGTCGATAAAGTTAATTTAGTGTCAAATACATGGCTATGAAATTAATTTAAAATAAAAGTTAATTTTTAAATAACATACCACATGAATTACATATTCCCATACATTAACTTAATATACATACTTTTTATGCTACATGTATTTATTTTAAAAATATTGAATATTATTTTATGTTTGATTTGTTAGATGTGTTTGAATTATACGTTATGTCAGATTATTATAAAACATTTAAAACTTATAAATGTGATTTAGTAATTTACAAAACAATATTTATTTATATTATTTCAGTATTTATTAGTAGTAAAATTGAATATTTGTTATAAATATATTTTACAATAATATAAAGATAATTGATATTTAATTCAATAATTATAATTTAATTTATTATGTGAATTTAAATGTAATTACAGTTATATAATATTTTACCATGATTACTGTATTATTGATAAAAATTAGATGAATAAATTCATAACAATTATTTCTAATTATTGTTTTCTAATGAAAACTAGACCAAAATTATTTTTAAAAAACATTAATGTTATATGTGAAATTCTCACATAATTGTATAACATTAACACCCTGGTTATAATTGTATAACACTCGCACTCATTATTGTGTTGAGTTTTCAAAAATGTGTGTATTTTATATGCATTGACAAGATATGCATTACTGTTGACCACTAGTATTATCGACCACTCGATAGTGCAATGATTTGTATTGTGAATGCATACCAAATGGCACGCAATTTTGTAAACTCGAAACTAAAGTTTTTGGCACGCTATTAAATTATGACCAGGGTGTAAAATTTGGTTTAATAATTTTGCTTAAAAGTATACTAATTTAAAAGTACTTTTATTGAATTACTACTAAATATATATAACTAAATAAATGGATTACATTTTTTTAATATAAAGATAATTACACTAATTAACACAAAAATTAAAATAAACTAAATAATAGATTAATACTAAATTAATACACTAATTAACCATTCATAATCAACGTCCTATTAAATATAATTAAAGTTATTAGAAAACCATATTTGCTGTAATCAAATAAACAATATGACAAAAATCTTGTGAAAAACACTGACAATGTTTGCGCAAATAATTCTCATTATTTGTCTTAGTTTTTTAAATACCGACGCTCAGGACGTGGCACCTTTAGTGACCGTAGTGTCCGACCTTCTCGGCGATGAGCGCCCCGCTTTTAAGGGGTTTATGAGCGAGGGTATTTAAAACGATTACTTAATAACTCACAATTTATATACCCTATTGTCTGACCCCATAACCAGTTATTGCTAAAAAGGTACCGAAGGTGAAGCTAAGCGACGATAAATTTATCCCGGCTATAGGCCTCGGCACCCAGGGCCTATTATACAATCGCCAAGCTAAACTCATGCGCAGGTTTAATAACGATCAAAAGTCATCAGAGACCATTATCGAGGCCCTCAAGTCGGGGTACAGGCACCTGGACAGTGCCTATTTTTTCAACGTCGAACACGCTATTGACATTGCCCTTGGTCATTTGCAAACTAAAAAACTTATCAAACGCTCGGATCTATTCATTAGTACGAAAATCTGGAATACCTTTCATCGGAGGGATAGGGTGTTGAAGGGGTTGAAGCTATCGTTGACCGACATGGGCCTGGAGTACGTAGACCTGGCTGTCCTACACTATCCTATGGGATTTCAGGACGGGGCTGAGGTATGGCCTACGTATTCAAATGGGTCTAATATACCCCGATCGTGGGATAAGGATGATTATACTGAAGCGTGGTTGGGTATTGAAAAGGCACAGCGATTAGGGATAGCCAGGTCGATAGGTGTGGCCAACTTTAATGTAGAGCAATTGAAATTGCTAATGTCCAGGGCATCTATTAAGCCCGTGGTACACCAGGTTGGTATTAAATTTAGTTTAATTGAAAACTTAGTTTAATTTTTAAATGTTATTTTTATAACTATTTTCAATTTTTATAATTCTATAATTGTTAAAAAAAACTGTTTTATAATTTATTCATTAAAAATAGGTTGTCTAGAATTATTTTAAAATAGCAAATCAACTGTAAATATATACTCGATCAATTTCTAAAAACTTTCTAACGCTAACTGAAATCTTAAAGTGGTTGCTTGAAACGCCGTTATTTAATTGCTTATTATCATAATACATTTAGTAAACAGTAAAACACTTTACAAAATAATTAAATATTCAAGTAACCAAAAATATTACATAATCAATACTAAAATTTTTCAATTAATTCATTAATTACATTTATTTTACAGATCGAGTCTAATCCCACTTTCCAACAAAATGACATGGTAGCGTTTTGCAAAGCAAATAATATCCAGGTCATGGCGTACGCACCCCTACGTGGTGGTGACTACCAGGTGTGCGAGAACAAAGTTCTGGAAAGCATTGGCAAAAAGTTTGGCAAAACCGCGGCTCAGGTAGCTTTGCGATGGAACTACCAGAGAGGTGTCATTCCATTGCCAAAGGCTGCCAAGAAAAAGCACCAAGATGAGAATATAGATATTTTTAACAAAGAGTTTGTAATTAGTAGCGAGGACATGGCGCTGATTAAAGGCATACCACAGTTACCCAGGTTACTAGATATTCCTACTATGGTTCATCACACCGACTACCCTTTTAATTAATTATATTTATTGATTAATTTGTAATTGGCTTTTTATTATTTTCTAAACATTAAATTATTTTAAAAATAAATTGTTTCCCATAATTAATAGTTTTATTTATTTATTTCGCTTATATTATATAATTTAACTTGTTAATAAATTGTAACATTAAAACAGTTTTAAACTCTTATATAAGGATTAATTATTTTAGAAATTTTTAGTATGCTGTTTAATTTATTAATTTTAAAAATATTGTTTTATATTGTAAAATAATGAATAAAATTTATTTTATTAACAAAATTAATAATTTAATTTAAACCAAGTTTGCGGTACAATTAAATAAACAATAAGCAACTACGTTTATCTAATACAAAGGTAAATCATTAAGAATTAAGTCACCACCCTACACACGAGTTAGTAATTTATTATACGAGTTACATGTATGACAGGTTGATGAGTTAATACATAAACTGCAATAATAATATACAGTAGAATATTATTTTTAATGCTGTAATAGACAAAAATTATTATGTTTTATTAACAATAGTAATAATCCAATATTACATTGTATTATACAGTAAATAGATAATTATAGTATAAAAACCTTAATTACAAAAAGATTTGTATATAAATTAGAGATACTACTATCACAGATAATATTGATAAACAATTATTTTTATGATAAATAATTTTTACCAAAAGTGGAAAGTTTAGGGACATTTGAATTTAATCACAGGTTATATCATAATTTGCATATTGAATAACATTTTGATATAATTATTAGAAAAGCCTATTTTATTAATTTATTTTACTATAAATTTAGCTAATAATAATAAGTTGTAAAAATGGGCAAATGGGGCCAGGGTGAATGGATCAGATTTTTCTACACAATTCATTTTGTGCCCGTTAATAAAATATCTACTTGCCCTGGAAAAAATGCAACTGATGACTTTACTTTGTATTATATTCCATTTGCTGGGGTAAGGAAAATATTTAAATTAAAATATTTATATCATTATATAATTTAATCTTTTACATTTTAAAGTCTAATTTTGTGTACTTCGCTTGGGACTGGTCATTTTTTATGTATTTACAATGTGGCTTATTATTACGTGTTAAATCAGAGCCGTTAAATTTTAATCTAGATGGGGTATTTGCAAATTATATATTTAAAATTAAAATTAAGCCATTTTAAATTAATTATTTAAAATTAACAATTTTACTTTTAGTTAAGCAAGGGTGTTTCATTGCAAAACTTTCACATGAGAAAGGATTGGCTACCGTATATGGATTACATACCCAAGGATAGGATTCACAAATACACAATATTAACCGCGGTCAAAATACTTGAAAATAGGACATATTTTACATTTATTTCTGTGTTTAAACTTGAGGTAAATATTATATTAAAAATCAAATATATTTTACACTGCTAATAAACTTATTTAAATAATTATAGGTGTGGGCTTTAATTGCATTATCGTGTATTGTAGTTGGTATGGTATGGTCCATATTTCAAAGTACTAAACTTGGTAAATTTAAGGCCATATTAGATACCATGGCACCTCTATTTGAGCAAAGTATGCATAGCACGCATAAATTAAATCAGCTACTTAATCGCACACGATTACCCTTGCTAAACTACAGCTTATTAATTATGTTTTGTTTGTGGTACCTAATGTGCTTGCTGTTATCAAATACATTTTCGGAAAAAATAATGACGGGGCTATTTGATACCAGAGTTTACCCTGTTGCAAATTCAGTGGAGGAATTAGCAACAGCTAAAAAAGTTCGCATAAGATCAGACCATGGTAATCTTAACGATCTTAAAGATTTTAAACCAAGAGAGTGCCAATTATTGGAACCTAGAATAAATAATGATCGTAAATTTTTTGATAATTTGAGAAAACAGCATGGTAATAAGTTTGACGAGGAACTTATCAAGGGCATTGCAGCGGGTAAATATGTTAGGTTTGACTGGGAATCGGGTACTCAGAATATGAGACATACGTGGGCGGGACGGTATCGTAGTTTGTACATTGCTCAAAGTAAATATAATTACGATCCCCAAGCACTTAGTATTGGTCGCAAACACGTTAAATATCGGCAGATACTTAGCGCGTAAGTAAACTATTTTTTATTTTGAATATTAATAATATTAATAAATTTTACATAATGTGCTAGATCCGAGTAGATACAACGAATTATAAATTTGATTTTGTATTTATAAAAGGCAATTTTATAACAAATATTCAAACTTAATATTTTGTTGGACTACCTTAATGATATATGCAAAATTAAGCATAGTTTTATAGTTTTAAACATAATATATAATTTTATTAATTATTATCAAATATATTTAGATTTAGGATATCATTTGAAAACGGACTATACATTCACAACAAATTTCAGACCGATATGGTATTCCTGGGGACCTTTGACACCGCCATCGAAAACAAACAGTTTTCCCATGAATTGGAGGACAAGACGTACCGGCTAAGTGAGCTACTAAAAGGACCTATCTTACTATTAGCCCTCTTATACCCCTGGGCTCTCATAGTATTTCTATGGGAGTTGTGTCGTGTGTTTGACGATAAAAAGTCTAAACGATTACATATTAACCATAATTATCATAAGTTACGAAATTATAAACAGGATAACTTTCAGCCACATAATATTAATTGGACCGCACGTAAAGTGACCATGATGAATCTCATGTCCAATCAATTTAAATTAAATGACAAGCCTGTGTATAATAATTATAATGACAGATACTTTACGTACACATAATTTGTACATTGTAGTCATTAAGAATTAATTAAATATAAAGTACATTTTATGTTATTATTAGTTAATTATGTATAATAAATAATTGAACTAATTTATACATAAAACAATTAAATTTTTACACAATTGTATTTAATTAATGTATTTAATAATGAGAATGCTAAACATGTGTTTATCATTACTATAAAGCAATAAAATACAAATAAAAAAATATAATAATGTTAATTATTGACATGAAAATAATAATTTGTATTAATAATAATTAAGATTTATAATAAACAAAATATTTATATTACTATAGCAATAACATGTTATTTTTACATAATAGTACTATTAATGATTTATTGCCCCTGATATATTGATAAACAATTAAGTTTTATGGCTATATTTTTTCTAAATATAAGTAAAATGTTTTTGTATGAAATATTTGCATATAATTATTGTTATCTAATAAATAATAAAATAAATTAAATATTAATAAATAAAAATAATTTTAAATATGGGCAAATGGGGTCAAGGTGATTGGATAAGATTTTTCTACACTATACATTTGGTGCCAGTAAATAAAATATCAGTGTGTCCTGGTAAAAATGCTACAGATGACTTTACATTATACTACATACCATTTGCCGGAGTATGAAATATATTTTTAAAATATAGCAATAAGTGTTCATTTATTTATCCAATATTTAATTTGTAGGCTAATTTTGTGTATTTTGGATGGGACTGGTCATTTTTCATGTACTTACAATGCTCATTATTATTACGAGTTAAATCTGCAAAATTCCCATTTAGTTGGAATGAGGTAATTAATATATTAGTTTTGTGTTTGCTAATTTTTATAGTAACATTAATTCAATTATTTAATTATTTATTAGATTAGCAAGGGTGTTTCACTACAAAACTTTCCAATGAATAAGGACTGGCTTCGCCTAATGGACTTTATACCTAAGGACATGACCTATACGTACACCATATTGACCTCGGTCAGGATACTTGAACAGAAAAAGTATTTAAATTTTATAACAGTTTTTCAATATGAGGTATAGTTAATATAACATTAATATAAAATCAAAATTATCATTTATGCTAAAGGATTTTATTTATGTTAAGGTATGGGCCGCAATTTTATTATCATGTTTGTTAATTGGATTCACCTGGTCCTTATTTCACAATACTAAGCTAGGCAAACTGCAAGCTATGATAGACGTGACAGCACCGTTATTTAAAAAACCTATTTATAATACAAACAAATTGTACCAGCTCATTTATCAAGATAGA